CGTTTTAGAAATATGAGATACCGTAAAATGCATTTGTCTAAGTTCACAGAGTATGTTGTATCGCATAATTTTTTAGTATTTTGAGTTGTATTGAATTATATTTTCACACACACGTCTATAATTTGTACGTTTTAGTGCATTTACATATATATTAAATTATTTGTAATATTATTTAATTAAATATTAATAAACGACATCGCTTTTACGATCGCTGATTGTCGACCGCTTGGACTGAACTTTTGTGTTGTGTCCGCCACTGGGCACGACCACATGGAGATAAAGAGCAAATCTTTATCGAGTTGTAAAAAATATAAAAATATAGTATGAAATATAGAATGAGTATTTTAGTTGTATCTCAAGTTGTGTTTTGCAATGTAATATCCTCTTGTAGTCACATTCATCATTCATGTACACTAAGCCCATGTTTGTTTACCATTATTCCAAAAAATTGTTTGCTACAGTAAGATTCTTCACCACACATTCACCCAATAAAATATTATACACACAAACCAATAAAATTACTTTAATTTTCAACCATACATTCTCCAAAAAATACTATTTATTACTCTATTTTTCTCCCATTAATGGGAGACAAACATACCATAATTCAATTAAAATGTAAGTTACACTCCTTAATGACGACTTTTAGTTTTTATTAAAAATTAAAATTAAAATATAAAACTGAAACTTAAACTTAAAAAATTAAACTTTCATTTTGAAATTTGAAATTTATTTGTTTTTTATATTACAACAGAACAGTTTTTGAACGTAACGAGTCAGTACAAAGTTTAGATCTCGTCCAAAAACAACGTAAAATGAAGATTTGAACAGCTTGTTTGATTCAATTTCTAAATCACAAATCCATTAAAATATATATCGTTCGTGTCGAATTATGTCCAATTGCCGAGACGCAATATAAATATCTTCTATTTTTTATATTCTACTTTCTCCGTCAATGAAAAATGCTGACAACACCAAACGGTTCAATTGAATCTTGTACACTTATTTGAATTGCAGTTATCAAATGCCTAGAAAATTCAAAAAATTTCAAATAGGCCCACTATTGATATACTGATATTATGTGCAGACTTCAATGAATTGAATAAAAGGGAAATGTCACTTGTACACTCTTTCTTGACACGATGGTGGACATTGTCTGTTGATAAATGTTGATTGGATGAAAAAATTGTCAAAAATTTAAACTGTTTAATAGTGTGTTCCCACATAACACAATGTAAAATATAATGTATTTGTAGCATGATTATTGAAAAAATCTTTATTCTAGAATCATGCTCGAGATATTCAAAGAGTCTTATTCAAATTATATCATTGTAGAAGACGCATATTGAATTCACATAATAGAAATATAAGACGTAGAAAAGATTTATTTTAAAGTGACTAGTTTTTGTACTCGGGGAGAGTAGAGCCTCATGTTCCTAAAATATTTTATAATCTAAAAACATAAATTATTAGAACCGGACAACATGAAAAAAAGCAATAATCTGACCATTAAACTACCAGAAAAAGCAATAATCTGACCGTTTTAGTGGTCATTTTTGACCATTTCACTCACCGGTGGGACCCAACTTCCTTGCAAACTGTCAAATAATCAATTATGAAAATCCATGCCAGACAGGCGCTTATTACATCAACCAAATACAATAACCAATTTTCGTGGAAAACATCGTAATTTGTAGTTGAAATTTTTACCATGTTAGGGATAAATCTCACGTCAGATAAAGACGAAAATATAATAGAATTAAATTATTTTAATTCCAGTCTATTTTATTATTTCACTATCAATCTAACCAATCGTATATTATTTATATAAAAAAAAAGGTTTCAATTTGCTTGCTTAATTTCGGTCATCTTTGCACAGCTTGCTTAATTCGGTCATCTTTGTACAACCGTGAATTGCATGGAAATCCATATTTGACCTCTAAAGATCTGGTTCACTGAATATTATTTTGTTTAACAAATTGTTAAGAAAGCATGTTAGGCTAAGCTTAAAAGACCACTAATTTCAATTTTAATACACAAAATAAAGTTCCTAAGCTTAGCCCACGCTCGACCAAATAATTTATTTCTATTCTGAAATTAACAAATGATTCCAAAAATCAGTAATCAATTTCCGTAAGGCTCTGTTTGATTGTCACGTTTTTCATAGAAAATGTCACATTCGAGGAAAACGAATTCCACTTTGGTCGTTTGATTGCAACGTAGAAATTGAAATCGAATTCTAAGGTATAGCAACTTTAAGCAGCATTTTCTTTATTTTCAAGGAAAACGAATTCCTACGTGTTTGGTAGGTTTTTATTTTCCAACTAACATAGAATTGTCATTCATTTTCACTTTTGTCTATCAAACGGACCTTAAGTTTATTAAACTATTAGTCAAATCACAGCATATTTAGCATATTTAAACCCAACCACCCACTCGACGTTGGACGTTGGAAGCCGCAACCGCCGCCCTAATGGACTGAAAGTAAGTGAAGCCTATATATACATAATAATCAGCAATAGATTTCTAAGATTTATCATCTAACCCTCACGAAAGTGATAACCATAAGCCAATTATTTTTTCGATTTCGTGATTAAGAAATGGCACACTCTGAATCTGCTTTGCCCTTGAAAAATCTACAAGGCAAAGTTGCCATTGTCACAGGTGGTGCAAGTGGTATTGGTGAGGCCACTGCTCGTCTTTTCGCCTATCATGGTGTAAGGGCGGTTGTGATTGCCGATGTGCAAGACGATAAAGGTCATATCGTGGCTGAATCCATAGGTGCTGAGCAGTGTAGCTACGTGCACTGCGACGTTAGTGATGAAAAACAAGTGAAGGCCATGGTTGATTTTACAGTCGAAAAATATGGTCAACTTGATATCATGTTTAGTAATGCTGGAATGCCAAGTAAATCAGAACAAACAATACTTGATTTCAATTTTTCACAATTTGAGACCTTGTTCGGCGTCAATGTATTCGGTACGGCAGCATGTGTGAAGCAGGCAGCTCGTGCTATGGTGGAAAAAGGCGTCAAGGGAACTATTGTGTGTACTGCTAGTGTGGTTGCCACCAATTGCAAGGGGGGTACGAATATGACCGACTATGTCATGTCAAAGCACGCTATTTTGGGTCTGGTCCGAGCAGCTAGCCAGCAGCTTGGTGTACATGGAATTAGAGTTAACTGTGTTTCACCATCCGCAATCGCAACTGGAATGGCAGCAAAAACTGGGTTAACAAGCGAGGGAGTTCAAATGGCATTCGGGCCTTTCACACCCTTGAAAGGAATTGCACTAACAGTTAACCATATAGCAGATGCCGTATTGTTCCTTGCATCAAACAATTCGGCATTTGTTACTGGGCATGACTTGGTCGTGGATGGTGGATTGATCAGCCTTCCTCATTTAATGATTAATGAAAACTGAGAATGTTGATTTCTTTCAGGGCGAATATTTATTTTCATTTTTGTTATCAGCGAATTTGTGTCTCAACTTTATCTAATGAAATACCAATAATATGTTGTGCTTTGTAATATTATATTTTATCTTTTAATAAAAAGGGAAAATTTGCAGCAAAGGTCCGAAATATTGAAAATAGGTCATAAATCTTTAAATCATAGCAGATATATCCCAAAACCTATCAAAAATATGCGATAAAAGACCTCTATATTGTTTCTGTGCAAATATTCACGAATTGGCTTAAAGTCAAGCGTTTGACAATTTTAAAAGGGCAAAACGGTAAATATACATTTTCTCACCCAAAAAAAAAAAAAAACAAAAACAAAAACACGGGAGAGAAAAAAAAGATTATTTCCTCTTCTTCCCCATAAAATTTCCCCCACGCCACAATCTCAATCGTCAAAATTTGCTTAGTTATTAATTTGGATTCTACGAAATTAAATATTTTAATTCAACTGTCATGGTACAATATATATATATAAAGACAATAAGATTATTTGAATGTTTTTGGTTATCATTTTTAAAAATGTATTTAATTTATTTAACTATTTAGTTAACATTAATGTACATGTACATTCGACAGATTCATTTCACTTGCGTGCTTTCATTAATATATGAATTCCCTATTATTAATTCTCAATTAATTAATATTCATTTTTTATTTAATTAATATTCATCTTCATTTAGGCATTTCAGTGTTATTAATTATAATTACAAGTTAAATAGAATTTCACGTTAAAAAATGTATTTCATTATTCAGGTCCACGTATGCTAAATTGTTAGTATATCTATTTTTACTTAATTGGAAATTAAACAAATAATTTAACGTTCATTGTCATGTATATATTCTCTAATATTGATTCTAAATTAATTAATATTCAATCGTATTCAAATATTATTTTTATAATAATTCAAGATTGACTAGTTAAATTTAAGAAAGTCTACTTCTCGGACTTGGAAAATAGAATCTACTCATAATATTTTATTAATATTTGAAACATTTGGACTTGGAAAATAGAACCTACTCATAATATTTTATTAATAGTTGAATAGTTGAACCTGAACTAGTTTCAATAATTCAATATTTAGCCCCGTGTGAGCTACATTATAATTCTCATTTTCATTCATCTACTTATTTTTAACCACACAAATTTTTCTTCATATTTTCTTTATTTGTAAATTGTAGTCGGATTGTAACTTGATATTTTATCTACTTTTATGCACCTAACTAATTATAAGTTCGCAAGAATACTTGGTTGGTTGAAAAAATTGAATTGATTAAGAATCGTGGACTCGCAATATTAAATTATTTGAAAGTTTTAGGTTTTCATTTTTGAACTTTGAATATCTTTATTTAATAAAAAAATATTATATATATATTTTTAAATATTTATAAGGACCCATATTTAAAGTTGATTTAAGGCTTCCAAAATTTCAAGATCGGCGTCGAACATGGCTCATCATCTAATTTAACAACAGAGAAAGCTTAGGATATGCACCTCAAAATAGTGAACCTGTTAATATCATATCAACCAAGTCTACTGAATGATTGAGCTACATCTAAAATGAATGGATTCATCCATGCCAATTATGCAGTTGGATGATAGGCATCATTCAACTTCGTCTGATGAATTAGAAATACAATTCTCTATGCATCGAACCTTCTACATATGTCAAAGACAAGCTGTCATACAAGATTAAGAAAACTCCCAAGTTGTCTGACCGGAAGACCCGGAACTTTTATTTTATTTTTTTACTATATCTTCTTTATATTAGTTAATAATGACATTTTTATCTTACTATATATCTTTAACATTATTTATTAACATCAAGAAGAAACACATACTATAAATAATTGATTTTATATTATTGAATACGTATAAATACCAATAAAAATATATTAATGTAGTAGACCGGATACTAATTATGACCAACATTCTCAATCTCTTTCGCATTAACTATTATAGCGTAGAATGGCCGGTATTGTAGATAAGTATTTTCTTTTTGAATTCTTTGAGTTGAATCAAGGCCTATGACTTATTCCAACGTTAAAGCCTAGGACTTTTACCGTGTGAATTTTTAAAAAAGTCCTATGCTGAGTTTGATGATAGAATCCGCCGCTCGCCAAAACTGAAAATATCCAGCTGCAATAACACTATATAAATAGTTGGTGATGAATTCTGAACTTACCATCCAACCCCAGAAAAAAAAGTGATACCCTAGATTATCAACTCTTTGATTTTTGTTACTACAAAATGGCACATTCTGAATCTGTTTTGACAATGAAAAAGTTACATGGAAAAGTTGCCATTGTCACAGGTGGTGCAAGTGGCATTGGAGAGGCCACTGCACGTCTTTTTGCCGAACATGGTGCACGGGCAGTTGTGATTGCTGATATACACGATGAGAAAGGACAAGCCGTGGCTGAATCCATTGGTTCACAACGGTGCAGTTATGTGCACTGCGATGTTAGTAATGAAGAACAAGTGAAGTCCACAGTTGATTGGACGGTGCAAAAATATGGCCAACTTGATATCATGTTTAGCAATGCAGGAGCAATTGGAAAATCTGATTATGCAATACTTGACCTTGATTTATCACAGCTGGATCACTTGATTCAGGTTAATGCACGTGGCAATGCTGCATGCGTGAAGCATGCAGCACGCGCGATGGTCGAACAAAAGGTCCGGGGTAGCATCGTGTGCACTGCTAGTGTGGTGGTCAGTAATTGGAAGGGAGGCGATATGACCGACTATACCATGTCGAAGTATGCTGTAGTTGGTCTAGTTCGATCAGCTAGCCAGCAACTTGGTGTGCATGGCATAAGGGTGAACAGCGTGTCACCTTCTGCTATATCAACCCCACTATCAAACTCGTCCGGCTTGACTAGCGATCTAGTTGAAAAATTATTTGTGCCATTTACTAGCTTGAAGGGGATTATGCTGACAGTTGAACATATAGCAGATGCTGTACTATTCCTCGCCTCCGAGGACTCAGCATTTATCACCGGACATGACTTGGTGGTGGATGGTGGTTTGATCAGTCTTCCCCACCTATAAGCAATGCTTACAAGTCATGAGAATAAAACGTTTCCTTTCAGTTGATAATAAGATTGCCACTGGCGTCATTTTATACACCAGAAATGCCAATAATACTATTGAAATTATACCATTTGATGTTTGTTTTAAATTATATACAAAGATGTTGTTTGTATTTCCTATGTGGAACAAAATTGTACCTTAGGTGGACATTTTTACCATGCTATAAATAAAGATACAAGATCCATTGTTCTGATAGATTCTGAATTCGAACTCCTTGAGTGGGCAGTCCAGCTTAGTTTTTTTTTTTTTTGATAAAATAGTGAAATTCTGATTGACAATTTTTTTATTTATTGTTAGGCCGGAATTCAATAGCATATTTATAAAGGGGAAAAATTTGTTCTTTTACCCATGTCAATATATTTTTAGAGGAAATTACATAATACCAGGTGTTTAAAGATCACAATTCAAAAATTATGGACAAAGTTTCATTATTCAAAAATCAGATATCTATAAATTAAACAATATCCATCCAATTTAATTACAAACCCTAATAATTTCAATTCTTCTTTCACTCTCTCATCTCAATTTCTCTCTCCCCTCTCTCATGACCGCCGGCTGTCTCACGATGATGATGGCAACAGGGCCGGCGCCGACGCGAGGAAGGCCAAACCTTAGATCTATTTCCCCTTTCTTTTTCATCATTTCCCCCTCTCTCCACTGTCTCTCTTCTCCGTCGTCTCGCTTCAGCTGGAAGTAGTGGCTTTAAGCGTCCCTGATCTTAGCTGCGACACTCAGTTCGTCGCTACTGTGCGAAATCGACAGCGATTTTATATTATTTTGTGATGGTTTGTGGCGATTAATGGTGGCTTTGTAGTAGCTTTTGA